ACATCTGATTAGGGTGGGCCCCAAACCTAATCACATCTGGGTTATAAAAAGATCAGAATAGGATAGCTACAAACATAGGAGGAAGACTGATGTCATGTGATGATCATCTACAACCAAAGCAATGCAAGCAGTCACCAGAAATTAGGAGACAGCCCTGTAGAAGGAAAGGACATGGCCAAAACACAGGTTTGGACTGTTAGTCTCCAAAAGTGTGAGGAATAAATTTTTGTTCTCCAAAGTCATCCACTCTGGTAGTGTAGTGGTTACGAATCGGGCTGCGAACCACAAGGTCAGCAGTTCGAAACTACCAGCTGCTCCACGGGAGAAAGATGAGGCGTTCTGCTCCCGTAAAGATTAACAGCCTTGGAAACCCTGTGCAGGGTCGCTATGAGTTGGAACCGACTCCATGGCACATAACAACAACAACAACAACAACAAAGTCATCCACTTGTGATATTTCTGTTATGGTAGGTCTAAGTAACTACGAAATGAGGCAAAATCTAGAATTGGGAGAAAAAGGCCTTTGAGAAATGTTCCATCAGAGTTGCTACCCCCTGAGCAGAGCTAGAGGAGGCCTTCAGAAATGAGGTTCTTTCCTTTCCTGTCTTGTGCTTCTTAGTGCATCTTCTCTACAGCCAGATAGAATTATTCGAAATTCATTCAATGAGCATTACTTATTCGTATCTTTAACCCTTCAGAAGTTTTGTCTGCCTGTAACATCCTCCCTTCTTTTTGATTAGGTCATAGCCCTGATAACACTTGTCCTGGGAAGTCTTTCTTTGATCCCCAAAATTGAATTTATGACTTCTAAAGACCATGAATTCCCCTTATCATAGACACAAGCAGATAACCACCATACACATAAATGCTACCTTCCCTGTTAAACTCTTCCTGGAGCAGGGACCATGCCATCCTCAGTGGTGTTTCCCAACACAGCACAGTGCTTGGTACATAAATTGTGGTCAGTCAATTTTATTGAATACATTATTGATTGAGTAAATGAATAAATGAATAGAGTTTTGGAGGATGGTGACCTGGAAGAAAGAAATATTTACTTAAGGTATGAATTGAGCTGAATGTTGGATGTAAATCAATTTGGATTTCACCCAAATAATATGAACAATGACAAGACTTATTTAGGCGCCAGAACAGATTTGTCCCCTAGGAACTCTACTCTCTTTATCTAAGACAGCATCTCTGCTAGGATTTTTGGCTGTGGCATCTCTGAAAATAGCAAGCCCTGAGGTTTAGCATGCTGGTTCCTTGTGGGGATCCTAGAAGTAGAAGCGTAGAATGAAGGGTCCCAGGATGAAGAAGCTCTGGAACTGTGTTAGGGATTTCTCCCAGGAGACTGTTTCTAGGAAGTTTTCCAGGATTAGTGATAATAGACACTGTCTAGGGAAAAGATGCCTCTGAGTTTATTAAATAAAGGTAACTATGAAGGAGCTCTGGTAGCGTAGTGGTTACGAGTCAAACTGCCAACCTCAAGGTCAGCAGTTTGAAACTACCAGCAGTTCCATGGGAGAAAGATGAGGCATTCTGCTCCAGTAAAGATTTATAGCCTCGGAACCCCTGTGCAGGGTCACTATGAGTCGGAACCGACTCCATGGTACTTAACAACAACAACAACAATGTTAAGTGTCATCAAGCTGTTCCGACCCATAGCAACCCTGTATAGGGTTTCCGAGGAGCAGCTGGTGAGCTTGAACCGCAGATCTTGCCATTCAAATAAACTTTGCAGTCCAGTGCATTTACCCAAGGTAATTATATGCTAGGTGAAATGGAAGGTCAGTGAAAAAGAGGAAGACCCCAACAAGATGTTTTGGCACAGTGGCAGCAGCAGTGGGCTCAGACAAACGATGATTGTGAAGATGGTACAGGACCACGTAGTATTTCCTTTTGTTGTGCATAAGGTCGCTGTGAGTTCAAATCAACTTGTGGGCACCTAACAACACTAAGAGTTTCTCCTTGTATCTGTGTGGAATTCACAGTTTTTACCAGCTCTTCTGCAGGAAAAAGATGAGGCTTTCTGCTCCTGTAAAGATTTATAGCCTCACAAACCCTATACAGGGTCACTATGAGTCGGAACCACAGCACATAACCACCATAGGGTAAAGTAAGAATCTTTGGGTGATACAACTGGCTACCAATAAAAAAGTAGGCAATTTGTTTTCACCCTTAGAAGAAAGCCTGCCTAAGAAGCTGCTTCTGAACAATCAACCATTGAAAATCCTGTGGAGCACAGTTCAACTATCATACACATGCCTGCCATGAGTCACAATTCACCTGAGAACCACTGGTTTGGTGGGCAGTAAAATGGAGCCTGAAGATCTAAATGCTCATCTTTTGTAACTACCTGTAGTTATTCTGGGCTTCCTTTTCTGTAAATGAAGGATAGAATAGAGCCAAATATTCTCTAAGGACTGTTCCATGATTCTATAAAAATGAAGTATGAACTTCCCGTACTCTACTGTTCCCTTCTCTTGCATAACTGGTTAAGAAACTGAACATAGCAGAGGTGTGAGACTGATGCCTTGGGCTGAGTTTAGGAGTGGAGTCAGGGCAGTGTAAGAATTCTCAGGGACTTTGGTTCCGCCCTTTTCTTCCCCACCCACCTTCACTTTTTAGACCTCTGGAGAGGTAGGGTGGTATAGGGTGACGTTCTCCTGAAGTTCTTTGTTCTGTCTTTTTTCTTCCCACCTTATTCTCCTTTCTTCTGACTTGTATCTCTCTGGTGGGAGGCAGTGTGCCAGAGTGGCTAATTGCATGAACTTGGGAATCAGATAGATGTGCATTTGAATCCTATGTCGGCCACTTCCTGATTGTGTGACCTTAGACAGATTTCTTAACCTCCTTCTGTTTCAGTTTCCTTATCTATAAAATAAAGTTTGTCTTCCTAAAGTTCTCATAAATGTAGAGTGTTTTGATGTGAAAAAACTAAAACTAAACAGAATACAAAGGAGTAGCTATCATTCTTCCTCACAAATATAAAACTGCCTATGCTTAGACTGTCTATGTTTCTACCTTTAGAATTCAGGTTTTGACATTGAATTCTCTGGACTTTCACCCCACGGTCCCAGTGTTTTGTATATTTTGGATGGAAAACTCTAGGAATCAAGTACTTTTACAACTGCAGATATTATTTCAGTACTCATATTTGTTTGCACCATAAACCTATTGAGCTAGAGTGGCACAAAACACAGGAACTAGAGAGCTGACAGAATTTTCCCACTGAGTTACAATGTAAATGTTATAGACAATAATATTTTTTAAATGTTGGCATTGAAAGCATTCAGAAGTAACAGTTAACTATAATTCACTGGGGATATGCATATTTTCTTGTTACATACATAAGAAAAAAGATAGGGGCAAGGGCAACCTGGGATTTTTTGTAACGTTCTTGTGTATGTTTAAGTTCTAACAGTATTGAAATAAATGTCTGCCATGCCTACACATAACAACAACAACAACAACAGTATGTTTAAGTTCTAACAGTATTGAAATAAATGTCTGCCATGCCTATATCCTAACAACTCTTAAAAGTAATTTATTGAAGTTCAGACTACAACATTTTATAAATGGTTCATAAATTGTATCTTGATTATGCAATCGATAAGAAATGGCTCATCAAGTGAGAAGGTGTATAGTGAGAACATTGAAGTTGCTTCTAAATGTGTTTTGAGTGTCATTTACAAATTGTTTCTAATATACCTTTATTCTAAGTTGTTGGGAAGTTTGGAAATGATACTAGGACTTTACAAAGACCCCATAAGATGGCTTTGGGAAACCATCCTACCTAGTACCCTCACTTCTGTGATCCTCTGGCAGTCTAGGTGAGACCTGACCACCTGTAGACAAGTAATTGGGCAAACCTAGGAGCAGGTAAGGAGCTCTGGTAGTGTAGTGGTTACAAATTGGGCTGCTAATCTCATGGTCAGCAGTTTGAAACTACCAGCTGTTCCATGGGAGAAAGATGAGGCTTTCTGCTCCCGTCAAGATTTACAGCTTCAGAAACTTTGTACAGGGTTGCTGTGAGTCAGAACCCACTCCATGGCACGTAACAACAACAACAGGAGCAGGTAGTGAGCTCTTTGAGGGCAGGGACTGTCTTATTCATTGTTGTATATCAAGAACTTAAGGGTGACTGGCAGTTAGTATACACTTAATTCTTAGGCTCAGGAGTCTGAAAGTATTATGCCTCCGTTAAACAGGAAATGGAAATGTTCTGGGTAGAAAAACATTATGAAAAAGTATATCTTAAGCATGTTCTGCACCACAAAGTTTAACAATGTTACTATAGCAGGGATTTTCATTCTTTTATCAGTTAGCATCTTGAATTGCTCTGGAACTTGAGACTGAAACTACTTCATGAGAGTAAGTGAATGGATTCAAAGAACCTTCTTAGCTACAGCTAAAGTTTGAAAGGAAGCCCAGGTCCCAATGTGGGACAGTGTCTCCCTTGGGGTGAGGAAATTCCTCTCACCAAATATAGCCAACTGGATTCTATGGAGAGGTAGAAAATCTGGTCTTGCCATTCATATTTCAGGATACAGTGAAGGAGAAAGAAGCGACAGAGAGGGAATGAGCCCACACAAGTACAAGGTTAGTGTGACAGTTAATTAGAAGTTTGAAGGAAAGGAGACTGGCTGTTCTGCAAGATGGTTTACTGGCTGTGATTTCAAGGCCCCCTGGCAAGTTGAGAATTATGAGATCTGTTCATTTTCTCTCCACTGTAATGAATCATGTCTCTGATGACAGTTGTGTATGTGTGTAGAGTCATGATTATCAGCTTCTTTCTGAATTATTGCTTATCACTCACAGGCCCTTACCACTTGGAGACTGCCAGAATTAAGTCCGATTTTAACTGGGGAGGTAGAACATTCTGTTTTGGAGGGAGCAGTTGGTTACATCTGCCATGCAGGGATGTCCTGGCTCCAGGAATCTTCTCCCACCATGTACCAGAAGGCATCCCATAATCTGTCTGAGCAGGGTCTGGCTAATGGCTCAATGGCTTGGCAGCTAGTGGTGGGCACAGGAAGTAATCCTTTCTTTCCTCCATTAGCAAGATAAGATCTTGAGGAAGGCTTTTCGGAACTCCACATTGAAGGTAGTATAGATCACAGGGTTGAGGGCGCTATTCATGTAGCCCAGCCATGTTGTAGCGCTGTAAAGCTCTGGAGACACATGGCAAGCTTGACAGTGGGTATTGAGAACATGAGTCAGGAAGAAGGGCAGCCAACAGACAATGAAGGTTCCTAGGTTGTAAATGAAGAGAGAAACTGGGTAAGAGATTTGCTTTCTCATTTTGTTTCAGCAAGATTCACAGTTGATTGTTTTATGCCATACCCATTTAATTTTTACAACAACCATATGAAGTAGTTGTGATGAATCTGAACTGATTCTACAGCACTTAACAGCAACAACATGAAGTTGGTTGGTTGGTTATGTGCTGTGGAGTCGGTTCCTACTCATAGCAACCCTGGACAGGGTTTCCAAGGCTGTAAATCTTTATGGGAGCAGAAAGCCTCATCTTTCTCCCGTGAAACAGCTGGTAGTTTCGAACTGCTGATCTTGTGGTTTGCAGCCCGATTCGTAACCACTACGCTACCAGAGCTCCTTACAACATGAAGTAGGTACTATTATATATATTGTAGGTACTATTATTTCCATGTTTTTAAAAGAAATCTGTATGCTAATATCATTGAAACATTCCAGACCTTAGACTCTGAACCAATATTCTCAGTTGATTTCTCAAGATTAGTTTACTAGTCATTTCTACCTCTCAATTAGATTCAGATATTTAATGTCTACCCATGCTAGATTTGATCTATGCAATCACTGGGAAAAGACCTTAAAGATGCAGTAGACACAATGGCTGTGTTTGAGGAGATTACAACTAAGCGATCTAGTAATATCCATAGTATATAAGAAACGAGGTTTGTTAGTGACTCCAAGAAGGATTAATTGCTTTCACTATGATACATTATGTCTTTAAATAAAGTTTCTCTTCTCTTACTATAAAAATTGCCATGATTTTATACATTATGAAAAACTTGGTAAATAACAGAAGAGTAAAATGCAGAAAAAAGTTACCCACCACTCAAAGATAACCACTTCTGACATCTGGTGAATTTCTTTTCAGTCTCTTTTTCTCTGCATTTAAAATAATCTAGTTGTTATCATACCATATGACAGTAGTGTTTTGCATCCCAAATTTTTCATTTAATATTTTTTAAAGTAAGAATTTATTAAATATCCAATATGTGCCTGACAATTTTATTGAATCATTATCTTATTTATTATTTGATGTACCCATTTTAATGTCATGCAATAGACAAGAAAACACAGCTCAATTAAGTAATGTTTTTTAGGTTCATAAATTTCAATTGAGATCTTTTGACTTTCCATCAGAGTTAGCATTTATACACAAACTCTTTTCAATTCAACATTTTATAAGTATTGCAGTCATTGGATTTTCAATGTCAATTAAATGTGATTACTCTAACACCTACTACCAGTTCAATCCAACTCTACCCAAGCACTCACCAAGCACAATGGCTAGCATCTGGGTTGCCTTCTTCTCCCTGAGCGGCACTGCCCGAGGTTGCAGGGGCCCCAGCTTCAAGGATGTTGACAGCCGGCCATTGCTGAGTTTTCGAACCTCTAAGCTGAGCTTGGGTGCCATGGTTGGACTTAGGGAATTCCGAGTCCTCTCTTCTCTTCTCAACTCTGTTTCCCCTTCTTGGAAACTTGGCCTTCCCAAAGCAGTATCTTGGCAGATGCTGTAATAGCGTTTTAGCTCCATGTGTGCTCGGCCAGGGGAGAGGGGCTGCAGGTGTGACAAGAGAGGGTCCTGACATTTCTGGGGATATTTTTTATCATCTGAATGTTCCTGAAAGGGAAAGACAATGTAAACAAGGAACTGGAAACCATCATTGTAAGAAACCTACAAGGGGGAACATCTGACAAAAGGGTGGAAAGTTCTGGTAAATGAAATCTGCTTCTGACTTTAGCATCTCAACATATTGCATATTTGAAAGCAACAACCCCTTGAGATAGCATAAGTTTGTAGGCTGGCCTTTTCAAGTTAGAATGACCTGGGTTATAGAGGAGCATATTATATGAGACTGCTGGGATGCAAGCAGCAATATCTGGAACATGGGAATCTTTACAAGACATGATTCTATTTCTTCAATAAATAAATTGCAATGGCAATAGTAATAATTACTAGTTGTGAACTATGGATCTTATTTAAATTTTTATTCAAATAAACCATTAGTAAAAAAAAAAGATTCATAAGACAACTGGGGCTATTTGAACAGTAGCTATTTAATTGAATTGTTGTTAAAGTCAATTTTCAGTTCATAGTGACCTGATATGACAGAGCAGAAATGCCCCACAGGGTTTTCTGTGCTGTAATCTTCATGGGAGCTGATTGCCTGGTCTTGCTCCTGTAGAGCAGCTGGGTGGGTTCGAACTACCGACCACTTGGATAGCAGCTAAGCACTTAATCATTGCACCTTCAAGGATCCTTACAATGATGTTGTTGTTAACTGTCGAGTCAATTTCAACTCATAGTGACCTTATATAGGGTTGCTCTGTTTGGACCATGAAGTTTATCTGCAGACTACAGGCTGTTAATGGTTCTTCTTCATATAATTCAGTTTCTCGGGTTATTTTCTCAACATACAGATTGAATAAATATGGTGAAAGAATACAACCCTGGTGCACAAGTTTTCTGATTTTAAACCATTCAGTATCTCCTTGTTATGTTTGAACGATTTCTCCTTGGTCTACAGAGAGATTGGTTCCTCAAGAGCACAATTAAATGTTCTGGATTACCCATTCTTCACAATGTTATCCATAGTTTGTCATGACTCAGTTGAAAGCCTCTGTATAGTCAATAAAGCACAAGTAAACATCTTTGTGGTATTCTCTGCTTTCAGCTAAGATCCAGCTGGCATTAGCAATGATACCCATCATTCTAAGTCTTCTAAATCCAGTTTGAATTTCTGGCAGTTTCTTGTTGATGTACTGTTGCAGATATTTTTGAATTATCTGCAGTAAATTTTGCTTGCATGTGGTAGTAATGATATTGTTAGATGATTTCGGTATTATATTGGGTCACCTTTCTTTGGAATGGGCACAAGAATGGATCTCTTTTAATTGGCTAGCCAGAAAACTATCTTCAAATTCCTGGAGCCTTGTTTTTCACCAATGCCTTCAGTGCAGATTGGATTTCTTACTTCAGTACTATTGGCTCTTGATCATATGCTACATCTTGAAGTGGTTGAACATTGACCATTTCTTTTTTGGTACAGTGATTATATTCTTCCCATTTTCTTTTGTTGCTTTCTGCATCATTCAATATTTTGCTTATAGAATCATTCTATATTGCAAGTTGAGGCTTGAATTTTTTCTTCAGTTCTTTTAGCTTAAGAAATGCTGAGTGTGTTTTTCCCTTTTGGTTTTCTAACTCCTGGTCTTTGCACGTTTCATTATAATCCTTGATTTTGTTTTCTCAAGAGGCCCTTTGAGATTTTCTGTTCGGTTCTTTTACATCCCATTTCCTCCATTCACTTTAGGTTCTTCACACTCAAGAGCAAGTTTCAGTGTCTTTTCTGACCTTCATTTTGGGTTTTTCTTTCTTTCCTGTCTTTTTAATAACCTTTTACTTTCTTCCTGTGTGATGTTCTTGATGCCATCCCAAACTCTTCTAGTACCTAATGCATCAAATCTGATCTTAATATGGTCTCTAAATTCAGGTGGAACATATTCAAGGTCAGCTTTAGCCTGCATTTGCATTTAAACAACTGATGGTCTTTTCCACAGTTTGGATCTGGCCTTGTTTGGGCTGATGATATTAAGCTTTCCCACCAAATTCCCATAGTTGTAGTCAATTTGATTGTTGTATATTCTATCTGGTGAGGTACATGAGTATAGTTGTCTTTTATGTTGTTTAATATGAGAAACCTACTTGAGGCTCATGGAGACAATGGTGTGATTTATTTATTTATTTTTCTTCCTTTCCATTCCTCCCTACCCCCTAACCAGCATGCAACCCCAGGGAACATCCCACTTTCCTGGTGTTCAGAGTTACTTGGAGATTGTAAGTCCCAAGGAGGAACTATATACAGCAACCCCACTAGGGCAGACTCTGATACAAATCTGCAAAGTCAGCCCTGAACTGGCTGTCATTAGGAGATGGGGCTAAATGGAAGTGTCAGGTAGAGAAAGACAAAGAGAAAAAAACGAAAACCCCCAAAACAGAAGGAGAGGAGTCAAGCAATCTGTGTGGGCGCTCTGGATGCAGTGTGGCCAATTTGAACTTCCCCAGATGGCTGTGAAGACAAGAGGCCAGTAGGTGGCAGAGTACCTACTGGGGGAGAGCAAGTCATTGACTTTCAATGTTTTTGTTTTTTCTTTTCACTGTAAAAATTGTTTTTTGTTGTTTCTTTGTCTTCCTTCTTCTTTGTAATGACATATCAGATGAGAGACTAATCTCTAAAATTTATAGGAAACTGTAACACCTCTACAAGAAAAAACCAAATAACCTAATTAAAAAATGGACACAGGACATGAACAGATACTTCACCAATGAAGACATTTGGGCAGCCAACAAACATATGAAGAAATGTTCATGATCATTAGCCATTGTTGTTGTTGTTGGTGTTAGGTGCCATCCAGTTAGTACTGACCCATAGCGACCGTATGCACAGCAGAATGAAACACTGCCCGATCCTGGGCCAACCTCACTATTGTTGCCATGCTTGAGCCCATTGATGCTGTCAGTTTGCCAATCCATCTCGCTAGGGAGATGCTAATCAAAACAACAATGAGATATCATCTCACACCAGCAATAACAGCGAAGTTCAAAACAGAAAACAACAAATGCTGGTGAGGGTATGGAGAGACTGGGACCCTCCTACATTGCTAATGAGACTGTTAAATGATACAATCATTCTGGGAAATGGTCTGATGCTTCCTCAGAAAGTTGGAAATAGAAATACCTTGTGACCCAGCAATCCTTCTACTTGGTATGTATCCACAAGGAATACGAGACAGGACACAAGTAGATATATGTACACCAATGTTCATTGCAGCACTGTTCACAATAGCAAAAAGATGGAGACAGCCTAAGTGACCATCAATGGAAGATGGATAAACAAACTTTGGTACATACACACAATGGAATGCTATGCGACCTCAAAGAATAACAATGAATCTACAAAACACCTTATAACATGGATAGACTTTGAGAACATCATGCTGAGTGAAATTAGTCTGTCACAAAATGACAAATATTGCATGAGACTATTATTGTAAAATCTTAGGGAAAGATTTCCATACTAAAAGAAACATTCCTTGATGGTTATCAGGGGTAGGAGGAAGGGAAGAGTAATTCACAGGTTAGAAGTTAGACATATATTAGCACAGGGAGGGCAATATACAAGGAAGGGAAAGACAATTCACAAGAAGGAGGGTGGCAGATGAACAATGAAGATAGGGGAAGATTTAGGAAGGTATGTGTATCCTAAATGGGATAGAGGTAAATTGTGATTTAGATACAATGTTGGGACAACAGTGTTCTGTGATACAGAGATTGAGACATAATCAGATTGGGTAAAGGTGGGGGAATAATGTTTAGGTGTTTGATTGTCTACTATAGTAAAATAGACATTTAAATGTGATAGAAATGAATATTGGGAATTATGCTTAAGAAAGCTTGTAATTCCACCTTCAGCCTACAAATGATTGGATTTGCTAAAAGGAGAGTTAGAAGTGAAGCCTTTGTAGACTATGGGGCCTTAGTTGGAATCCTGCTCCCCACCCAGAACCTTCTGATTTGGGACTTTTCCTTTGAAAAGACATGCAGACCAACACAGAACTGCTGGGAGAACTGAAGGATCTTATTGAAAGAAAGACCTGCAGAAAAAAATAGACTGGCTGTTAGGATATCAAGCAAATTGTTTGCTTTTGGAGGCGTCAAGGCAAGAAAAGTCAGCCCATCAGGGAAAACCCCTTTCTAAGACTGAAACTCGAAGGGAACCCAAGAGCAGTCTAGTATGCTCACTGGTGACCACCTGAAAGTAGGGGAAACGCAGCAGTGAAATACGGACTGAATCTGGCTGCATTACATTGACACCTAGTGACCCTGGAATGAGAGAGAGAAGAGGAAAGCCTGTCTAGTCTGAAGTTTAGGAAGATGTATGAACTCCCTAGCCCATGGGCACTGACCTAGCCAAGGGAGGTGGGGGATGGGGAGGCTAGGGCTGAGAGTGAAGTGACCAGCTGTTCTGAAGTGCAGGGAGGTATGTGTGAATTCCCAAACTTGAAACTAGTATCTATTTGACCTAGCTTGGATGGATAGCTGACCAGAACATGACCAGATGAAGATAAATATGCTTGAAACTGTGAGCTAGTGTAAATTGCTACAATTTTATGAACTGGACTTGTATTTATGGATGCAGTTGCTCAAAATTTCAACTGGAATGGAAAGATTCTTCATATCAAGGAACAAGCTTGTTTTCTCAGAGCACTGGGTTGATAGGGATAGGCGATCTAGACATTGGCTATCAAAAATGGGGTGGGGGTTGCTGTAAAGGCACAAAGTGGTTGGCTTACAAGCTTTCCTGAATACACTTAGTTTCAGAATGAGCAGAGTAAGGAAGATTCCCCACTGAATATTTTCCTCTTCTCCAGATGGATCTGGTGAAAGGGGGTGGAGAATGATGCTGATAGGATTTTATGATTCTATTGTGAGTAATTGTTAGCAGGATTAATTGTGATTGTTACAGCCATAATTGTAGATGTGTAACTAAAAGGGGG